TAGATAATCATTTCATGAGAACAAATACAGGAATACTAAATACGCGTTTTCTCAGGACAGACTTAGGAGACTTATCCTCAGTATTTATGGTAAACAATATAACCAACTAGAAATGCAGGCAAAGTGCGCTTCAGGTTACGGCATTTTGTTAATTCCACCCCCCTCCCAACCTCTTCCACACACACCACAAAGTGTCCACATTGACTGTGTCTGCTTTTCTCTTACGCTCTTGATTATGAGTTACATTAAAAGCTAAACTAAACTCACCCTCTACTTGGTACAGAATCACTAAGAAAAAGGTTCAAAACAAAGGTAAACAACTATTCCCTAAAGTCCAGAAGGCTTTCCTCGGGCCAGTTTTCAGTGTGAGGCTTTGCTACCACCGAAGAGAAATGGGAAAAACGCTACCACGTTTGACTGAATTGACTAAATACAATAAATCAAAGACACTCAAAGCAGAGCAAAACTTAAATCAACTTACAAATAAAAAATGCTAAAATCAAACTATCACTTTTGAACAGATACTGTGATACTGTCATGAACACTGAATCTTACTTTCGATCCAAAGTAAAAAATACTGCACAAATGAAGCACTATTCTGTTAAGTAAGCATTTTGTCCCTTTCATTAGCAAGAATCATCCATCTGAATAAGCAGGATGGAAATTATAGTACCTGTCTCCTCTCTTAATTTAAGGTATACACTGTTTATTGTTTGTGTTACAAACTGCCTCAAAAACCTTTTAATGCTATCAAGTAAACTTTTGATGGGTTACTTTTGAAAGTTACTAAAATGACTTTTTCATTTTAATCACTTGTTAATTTGTAAGTTGTTAAAAACGTCAACTTTGAGTCTCCTATTAATATGTGAAAAGCTAGGATTAAATTCAGCAGTTTCCTATAAAATCTTAGAGCTGGAGGCATAACTACAAAGATGGCAATTATTTCAAATCTATTACATAACATCTTAAGATAGAGTCAAGAAAAGCCACGTGGGTTCTTAAAGTAATACACTGCTGGTGGTAAAAATGCTATGACAGACACATTTTATATTTTAAGAAAAAAAAAAATGTACTATTCATACTTCGGCTTTAGTTGCTGCCCAAAGCAGATGTGATTTCTCTTATAAACAGTACAGGTTGAAATTGTACTGGTAATCAAGTTGTTGGTAAACTGACAGTAAAATATATTTCCAAGTGTCTTATTTTTAGTGCTGGTATGTTTTAATAACTTCCAGTAGTTTTTATATGCACTGAATAATGTGACATTCTTGAAATACCAGACTTATCCAATATTATTGAAGCTGGGCTTTCAAATAAATATTTAACCTTGATAAGTGTTTGACCAGACGCTGAAGGCAGAAAAATGAATTGAATTCCTTTAGAAAAATAAACAGCCTATTTGATTCCCATGCTAACAGCAACTTAAAAAATTATTCCATAACTTGTAATAATGTGTAGAAGCTTAAAGGCAAGTACTCTTGATTGCTCTTCCTTACATATTTCCTCAGTCTAGGTAGATTTCTTTCTTTATAGTAAGTTCTGTCCAACAGATGAATGGTGTATAGAAGGAGCAAATATTTAGTGCTGGAGAAGTCTGCAAGCAGTACCTGGTGATTTCCACTACTATTCTACTGAGCTAGTAAGTACCTGGCCAGGAGGGAATGGTGGTCAAGAATTGAAAGAAATTGGTCATTAAGGTTACAATACTTCCGAAAACATTAAAAATATGACAAACATTTCTTACAAGGCAGTCACTGAATAATTAGAATAAAAAGAAGAATTCTGTTGCTGAAAACATAGTTATACATTATGTTCATCCAACTGAAGATTAGTGCATTAAAAAAAGTGAAGAAAAAAATCTTTTATGTTCCAGTTCAGCTGCACTTGATTCAAGTGTTGCTCAGAGGTTTGTGTTGTTATAAATTAAACATGCTGCTGCCTTAGCAGCCAAAGGTACTAGGAAAAAATGTTCATGTCACAGAATAAATAGAGCAGTCTCTTTCAAGCAAAAAAGTTATCTCACACCAATCCGGGAGGTCATCCACTCGAGACCTTGGCATAACCTGAACAAAAACAGAAGCATTATCAAATTTAAAAACCTTAAACATTGAAAACATTATTAAGTCTTACCCAAAGGTTGGTACCATAATCGTTATTTATATACCATAGTGTCAATAGTAAAACAACATGCTAAGAGGAATTTTTAAATGGAAGGTTCACTTAAATAAAATGATCTTCACCAGTGGCCTAACGTGGGAAACTGCTTCAGTCCCTTCTTCAAGACACAACTTTGACAGTTTTGCCATCAAGATTGCCAAGTACTTGCCCCCTCCCTCTTTAAAATGAACAAAAACAACCATGGAAAGATAGCAAGAACTTTACCTAAACCCCCCTAAATTCTAAGGAATGGAATGCTTTTGACCCACTCTTAAAAGGTCTACACATAGCTATTACATTGCCAGCTATTTCTGAGAAATATTATAAGAAAAACTGAGAAAGTTTGGTTGAATTGAGGATAAACTGGTTAGTTCTTTGATACAAACAAGGTAATCCATATATAACAAAGTGGATTCTCCTTGGCCTAATATCCATAGTCAAATTACTAGGAACAAAAGACTATAATAGTGGTGTTGGTCTCAAGTCTGTATTGTCTGGTAGTAGTCTTCCAAAAGGACTCCTAGTAATAAAAGAGAGTACGCAAATGGAGAGCTGAGAGCTTAGGTTTAAGTTCTTGTAGAAAATGTAAAATCGGCTCGGCGCCTATAGCTCAACCGGCTAAGGCGCCAGCCACGTACACCTAAGGTGGCGGGTTCGAATCCCCAGCCC